ACCCTACATAAACTATGCAGGGTTCTGTCAGGGCTGGCAGTATAAAAATCCTGCGTAAAGGTAAGAAACATCGCCAGATATTTTAATACCGATAACCCGCGGGATCCTGCGCAAAGTCCTGCGGGATTCTGCATGAATTTTGATTATTTTTTTCAGTGGGTACTGTTCTTTTGAATTTTTGGAGGAGTACGCACCCCCCTACACCTCCCCAAAATTCAGGTCTCTGCCTGTTCGTCAACCGCTTGACATAGACCACTGGTTCAAGCTTTAACTTGACGATACTCTTATGCACTAACTGACTAATGAGGGTGATGTGCTTAATGCTTTTTCATACGGAGAGGTCCAGAACTTATGGAACACCCTTTATAGATACTGACTTTATTGTTGCTGTTAGTGGATGATATTGAGGATGAGCATAATCAGACGATTCAAAAGTATATTTTATTGCCATTTTTCTAAACAGAATATTTTCATTAAATAAACTACGATAGAATACTCTATCATATAGAATACGACAGAATAATTAATTCTTAAAAATAATTTAATTAAAATATGAAAACATAATTTTTATTTTCAAAGAAATTTATTAATAATTTTAATATTTTTAAATTAGTAAATTTTAGTAGACATGATTCTGGAAGTCGATAAAATTCTCATACAATAATCTTATCTTCTATTATTAAACTCGTGACAGTACTAGAGGTTTGCGAGACTGTCCCGATCCCATCCCGGTCCCACGGGACTTTTTTCGGGACCAAACTTTATGGGACGGTTCCGGTCTCGCAGGACTTTTAATGCGACCGAGACCGGGTTTTTTTGAAAATAGTCTAGCATGAAGCATAAAAATTTTTTAGTCTCTGTGCTTGTTTGTATATAGACACCAGTGTTGCGGGACAGAACTCATAGAAACTTCTAAAAGTCTTCAGTTAATACTGTTCACGCATGCTGTTCTACATTACAACCCGCTGACTTTCAAACTATCAGCGCTACTTTGAAAAAATATTTACGGGACCACGGGACCGGGACCAGAAAAGTTTGGTGCCGCAGACCTCTAGACAGTATGCCCCAAATCTGAATGAATTGAGTCCAAAATAGAATAAAAATAATTATGTGACTGATGAGAAAAATTAAGTGTAGGATTATATTGATGATATGATAATAATTTTTTCTCTTAATTTTTGATTTTCTATTGATAGTGAATAAAATAAATAACATAAGGTAGATGATGATAAATAATCACGTATTTCATACAGAATATCTTGCGATAAAAATTCAAATTTACGAACAACTTTGGTCACGTCATGCTCACAATAGAGGATACTCTTTTCTAACTTCGCACAAGTAAAAGTGTATAACAACAACGGTATTATATGTTATTTACAAATGTCCTGTTGCATACCTAACTCATTTCATACAGTAGAACATACTAGTTGGGTTCTGCTCTGAACCCATTGGATCTTTTGGAAATTAATACGAACTAATTTAAAAAAGTCTCATATTAAATTAGTGCGCATTAATTTTTTTCTGATTAAAAATCAATTTGAATTGATTTAACTTGATAAATTAATTCAAATCAATTGAACTTTAACCAGTTCGAATCAAATTATCGGGTTAATCAATTCAAATTAATTTTTAATCAGAAAAAAATTAATGCGCACTAATTTAATATGAGACTTTAGGTTATTAGGTTGCATTAATTTCCAAAAGATCCAATGGGTTCAGAGCAGACTCCAGTTAGCATGTTCTACTGTATGGAATGAGTTAGATATGCAACAGGACACTTGTAAATAATATGTAATACCGTTGTTGTTATACACTTTTACTTGTGCGAAGTTAGAAAAGAGGATTCTCTATTTATATATATAAATATACTGTGAGCATATATAAAAAGTGGTTTTGAGTTGGTGAGTCAGAAATCAATCAAACTGCTGTTACAAAATCACCTTTCATTCACTTCGTAAAATCTATCCTTGAGTACATTGCGATTATTCCTCATAATATAAAAAACTTGATGGAGAACCTTGATCACGGCTTTTTTAAAGTCAAAACGCAGGATAATTGAAGCAATACCATTCTCTAGAATATTATACACAATATTAAATTCTTGCAACAGGATGGATAAACGATCAACTCGTTTACTTTTAACAGTTTTTGTAGTCAATGCACAATAATCTGTATTCCATCAAAATAAAAGCTATATGCTATCAAAATAGAACTCGACTATCATATATGAATATAGAATAGAATGTCAAAATGGATTTTGTTAATTATTTTCTTTACTTCTACATTTATCGCTGTGCGTGTGCCATCTGATGAAAGAAGGACTAAAGACAGTTCGTACACCATATAATCATCAGTCAATAAGGTAAAATTTCGTTTTCAAGATATATTTTTTACTTCACCTTGTGTATCTTATTTGTACGGGTTAGTTCCCGTTTCGTGGAAAACATTTTTTTCTAGTGTTCCTGTTTTGTTAAAAATACAGCTTTAGTTGTTCCTGTTTCGTCGAAAAATAAAACTAGAACTAGAATATAGATTATTCTAATTTATAAGGTTCCTTTAAACACACTAATTAAAAAGAATGCTGAATTATTCTAAATGAAGTAAATATACATGCCATGCAGTCAGAAACGAAAATTAATCACTATCTATTCTATTTGTATTAAGGACCTTCCCGCCCTCAGAAATTATCTCCGACACCGTACATTCGAGCTTGACGAAACTTTCCATAAATGTTAGGCACAAAGAGTTACGGAAATGAAAAAATTTTTTTATCTCGAAGTCTTACGATTTAGGAGTTTTCCACATCGTATATATTGTACATATCGTATCCATTTTTTGTAATTTATATACACAATTACTCGGGCTAATTCTTTCGGAACTGTCCCACATTTATATGAAGGTTCGCGACGTATCTCATTTGGAAGAGCGTTTAATTCTGAGTTAGAATGCATCATTTAAAAAACTTTAAAACATCGGCAGGGGGAGGTCTGACATTTGGGGATTTTATAGGTTCCAAGACGCAATTCATATTTAACTATCTCAGAAATAACAAAAGTGACAAACATGAACGCTTTAGGACATAAGCTAGAGACCACAAGGAATAAAATAGCTCACTTAAAAATGAGTCAAAATGCTGCACTGCTCTACTATGCTAACAACGTTTTCCCTACTTTTGTTGATTCCAATACACATTTCGGACTCTAGATCTCTTGAAACATATGAATCAACTGAGATCTCAATACTTTATCTCCGCTTACTGAGATACAGGTCTTTGAAATCCTAAGTTCTCCAGAAAACCTCTCAACTGCAAAGTACATTGAAAGTTCTTTTAAATATACCATTAGACACAACGTTGATTTCTCTACAAAATGACATATTTTCCACGCTTTTAAGTTAAAGAATGATCGAGTTGGAGTCAATACAGAATTGTTGTACAACCATCAGTGAAATCACTCATCTTTTAGCCGTTAATTCTTTTGGAGTTTTTGATGCGATTTCATTTGGCTAAGCAATGTAAAGGTGAAAAATATGTCGCCTTGTAGAGAAATGAAAGTTGTGACTAATGGTATATTTAAAAGAACTTTTCGATGTACTTTGCAGTTTGAAAGCTTTTTAGAAAACCCGAGATTTCAGAGACCTATATCTCAGAATCCGGAGATAAGATATTGAGATTTCAGTTGGTTCATATGTTTCCAGAGGTGTAGAGTTTGAAAATATGCATTGGGATCAACAAAAATGAGGAAAAACATAGTTAAAAATAGCTTGGGGACCATCGAAAATGAAATAAGTGCCGTCATTTTTACCATCTTCGAACAAGCAGAGTAGAGCAATGCAGCATTTTGAATTTTTCTTAAGTGAGCCATTTTATTCCTTGTGGTCTGTGGTCTATGTCCTAAAACATTCATGTTACTCGCTTTTGTCATTTCTGAGATAGTTAGGTATGAATTACGTTTTCTAACAACTCTGAATTACCGAGCTCATTTCTCTCTTTTATGAAGATATTTTTTTTAATTTTTTGAATCGGGCTCAATTCCATCTTTTTGGATTAATTAAAGCAACCGAGATCTCTCTTTTTTACGGGCTCATTTATTTTCGTGTCCTTCTATCTTGTTTCTATAAATGCAAAATTGTGTATCTGGTTGACTACTATTGTCTGAATAAAAGAAATAATCGGTATGTATTTTCTAACGGATTGTGACTATTAAATAAAGAAAGACTAAATGTTTATTATTATCAATATATGTCTTATCATATCACCGACTCGTGGAGAAAAGACGCTTGTACGTCAGGTTTTTACTTTCTATATGGCTGACGGTGTATGGGGAAGAGAGAAGAGCTAAATAATGTATAGGTCTTTTTGTTGTACGCCGTAGATTAACTCGTCATCTATCTTTTATTCATCTTGAATTGTATAATTCATTCTCTCTTCGTATGCTGTAATATATATATATAGTAAATGCACACTTCTCAACACTTTTCAATATATTCTTAATACATATTTTCAAATAAAATATTGTTCGTACTCAGTATTACGATTTCTACGATAAAGCAAAGTATGATGGTGTATATGAGTTTTATATCCTTGATAGTTTGCTTTTGTTTCATAATTCACAGCAACGGTGACAAGCGTAGTAATGATTGTGAATGGCCGGGCCACTGCAAAGGAACAAAATGCAAAACAGACAGTGATTGCAGTGATCCATGGGGATGTGAGGATGGTATTTGTGGTGGTAAGAAGGGTTCAAAGAGTGGCCATAGTGCTTGGAAGCCGAAATCAGGTGGCGACATTTTGTCATGTCGACAGTCGGGTGTTTTGATTGGAAAAGGGGGACACAAGTGTAATCAGGATAATGGCGCCGACTGTTGTGTCGAGGGCAAAGAGTATCCAAAATATACCTGTTCACCTCCTATATCAAGTTCCACACCAGCCATTTTGACGTTAAATGATTTCCAGTCAGGTGGTGATGGAGGTGCCGAAAGTTCATGCGATAATAAATTTCACTCGAATTCTGAGTCTGTTTGTGCACTATCCACTGGTTGGTTCAATCGACGAAAACGATGTGGTATCAAAGTAAAAATTACTGCATCGAATGGTCGTATAACGAATGCTAAAGTAGTCGATGAATGTGATTCAACAGCGGGTTGTGATTCTACTCATGCTCATCAGCCGCCGTGTCGAAATAATATAATCGATTGTAGTAAAGCTGTATGGGAAGCACTCGGATTAAACAGTGCCGACGGACAAGCAAATGTTCACATCAACTTTACCAATTAACCCGTTATTCGATTACGTATTATGAAACTTACGCACTTGCCGATTTCTTTTTCTTCATGTTTCTTCTGATAATATAAATAAAAGTCAATTAACTTACTATCTAATAGTGGAATACTTATAGAGGAAAACTCATGTTTTTGTTCAAGTTCACTGCCAAATGCTCTCTCTAAGCCCAAATAGCATAGAAATCTACACAAACTTACATTTCTTCACAGATTGCGTACTTTCTACTGAAAGTCGCGATAGTTCCTTGTTGACACTTCTTGTAAGTGGCAATAGATGCTTGTTGCCACGTTCAGAAGTGACAATAACTTCTAGTTGATACTTTCAAAAAGCTGCTTAATGACACTTCTGTAAATGACAATAGCTATTCTGAAAATTAATTATATTGAAAAGAAATGAAGGTGTAAATGTTTTGTGAGCGGACTGTTCTTTTATATCTGTTTATTTATTTTGGTAATGTTGTAATCAAAGGAAATCCACCGATGGTCGGCAGATTACGATCTTCGAATTGTATCAGTTCATACGTAACAGTTGAACTCTTAACAGACCCATTTGTGTTTAAGACTCTTGCACCAATATTAAACGAATAAATAACGGGTGGCATGTAGATCTGCGCTGTTTTTTTAATTGAAACTATTGGGTCATTTGATAGTCCTACCCATAGAAATTAATTTCTTCCATCAACTCGTCATCCGTTGTACCTAGATCATAACTCATTCTCACCGGCGTATTAAGTACCACTTTAGTATCAATAATCAAATAATCATTTGATCACCCCATAATTTGTATATAATAGACTAACTCGCTGATGCCAATAATATAAACATTCCCTTGAAAAGTAATTTTGAACAATGTATTTTGTGTAACCTGAAATACTTGTTTTACATCAGGGATATAGAGAAAATTGTTGTCGGGAGTAACTCCATGTTTTCCAGTTGGTTGACATTTTACATACGATTTAAGTGCTTTATTAACAATTGATCGAACATGGATTGGTGTAGATCCATTAGTAATAGAGGCCGCATCTGTATACAAAAATTCGAAATTACAGTTTTTGAAAAAATATACATATTTCTATAAATACAGAAAATGCAGATCATTGTCAGAAATCCAAAACTTCTTATGTTGATGATTATTTTACTGTTTTCGAAGAATTGTTATTATCAACAATCTTTTATCATTAAATGTTTTTTGTCAACAATAAATAAACTGTTGGATTTTAATTTATGACTAAATAACTGAAACTTAAAAAGATTAATAAACCACTGTGTTATCAAAAGCAAAGAAAAACCTTTTTTCTACGAAATCTATAATCCATCACTTTATCGTAGAATAGGAAGAGTTGTATTTGAAAGTATACATATGTCTATTCCAACGGCCATCTTTATTTGTATGGGAACTATAACAGGGGATCTCATTGCTAATTATATTCACACTGGAAATGT